CCGGTGAGGACTTGAACCAAGGCAGTGGTGGTGGGAGTGAAAGGAGGCAGAGGACTGAAAAAGATTTTCTAACCACTACGCTGTGTACCTGAAGCTAATCTAGAATAATAAAAGCATAATATGCTAATTAGACTGGACAGCCAAACAACCTTCTAGACGTCATTCTGGACGTCCTTCCAGACAAAGCCGCTGTGGCAGGGGCCAAGGCAGAGGTGGTTAGGGGTGATCAGGCAGGCAGGTGAGTGGTTAGGGGCGATCAGGCAGGCATGTAGAGTGGTTAGGGACGATCAGGCAGGCAGGTGAGTGGTTAGGGGAGATGAGGCAGGCAGGCAGAGGGGTTAGGGGCAATCAGGCAGGCAGGCAGGCTTAGGGACAATCAGGCAGGCAGGCAGGCAGAGTGGTTAGGGGCAATCAGGCAAGCAGGTGAGTGGTTGGGGCAATGAAGCAGGCAGGCAGAGTGATTAGGGGTGATCAGGCAGGCAGGCAGATGAGCAGTTAGGAGCCAGCGGTCCCGGATTTCGAGAGGAATGTCCGACTGCCAGTTTAGGCCAGAATCGGGCCTAAACCGGCAATCGGACATCCCCTGAGGGGTCCCAGATTGCGAGAGGGTGCAGGCCGGGCTGAGGTACACCCCCATCCCCTGCACAAATTTCATGCACCGGGCCTCTAGTACAAAATAATATGGAATGTAAGCTGTAATTGAAAAAATAAGATGTTGCAGAGAGAGAACTCTCATGATCCAATGTCATGTTAAGGGTGCTATTTCCTCTGGTCATAAAACCCTCTATCCGGTAAAATTCTGCCCCTCCTACAAGCCAGGGCTGTACATATGTCTCAGGAAACCACCTCTGACCCTATTGCTTGTGCTCCTGTGTGCATATACCACTGCTGTGTGCTTTGCCACATCACACAGAATGGTGACAATCTCTGGTACCCTCTACCCCCCTTAGAAATAGGAATTCAAGAAAAACACTCCATCCTTTATCATCGCAGTCCCATGGTTGTGATTAGAGCGGTCTCCAAGCATTCTGGTTTTCTTGTCTTCTGGGGACACATTAGGGTTGAACCTCCTGGTTCCCATGTGGTTGGTGAGGTCCTGTGATGAATTCTAGCCAGTGATTTTAAAAAACCTTTTAAAATTTGATTTTTTAAAAAGAGAGAGAAGACCAGAGAGGGAGAGAGAAACATCGATTTAAGAGTGGAACATGGATCAGCTGCCTCCTGCATGCTCCCTACCAGGGATAGAGCCTGAAACCTGGGCATGTGCCCTGACCAGGACTCAAACTGGCAAACGTTCAGTGCACAGGATATTTTTTTTCACAGACTGTTTTTATGTAGGGAGAGGGTTAGAGAGAAAATCAACTTAGCTACTGTCTACCCAGGAGCCAATAAGGTTAGCTCACTTCTTCGGATGTCTATTACTTGTCACACTGTGTGAACTGGTCGTTCGAACTCTTACATGTTCAGATTAATAGCCATGGTCCAAAACGTGTGTGGACGAGTCCCTGATTTTCTGTTCAAATCTCTGATTGGGAAGGTTGATGTCTCATTGCATTTGCCTGCCCTTCACGGTGAGATCAATGTTTACCCGGTTCTACTGCTAGACAACCAGTCTCTACAAGAACGTACAATCCCTCGTCTGGCCACACACACAGTTTCAAATTCTAGTATCTTTTACTAAGCTGCACTGAGACAACACCACAGAACAAATGCATGACTAGAAAATGTATTTTCCATGTGAGAGAAAAGAGCCTGTGTCTTGTAACAAAGTCCTTTTACAATGAAGGGAGGTGAATCGGGGACCTTGAGAAAAAATTCACATCCACAAGGAGGTCGGCTGCGGGATGCTTATAAAGAAGATGAAATGACAGGGCACGCTGTGTCCTGAGTTACCCTCCCATGTGCTACATTCAACCAGGAAATCATTCCAAAGAGAAAGCATCTCAGATAGAGGAGCAGGGAAAATACACAGCACTAGCTAGGACTGCCCTCTGGTGGTCATCCTGACACAGAGGCAGACGTGGAAAAACCTCCAGAAATCTGATAGATCCAGTTTTCTGACGTATAATTAATTTACAGAAACTAAAGATGAGGGAGAGGTGGATCATTTCTAGGGATTTATAATTTCTTGTTAATTCCATTACCGCTCCCCCCCCCCCCGCCCCCAAACACAAGATGGTCTTTTCCATGTTTCCCACCGGAGGGAAAGAGATTAATTCTCCCCTGATCTTTTACTTATATTTTTAATTTAAAAGTAGGCTTTGTATGGGAGCTCTGCACCTCCCACTCAATTTTGCTGTCAACTAAAACTGCTCTAAAAATAAAGTCTACCAGAAAGATAGGCTCCGTGCTCTTAAACGACATTGGAAGTAGGTGATCAGCAAGGTGCCTCCCGAGGGAGTAAAACCGGCCTGGGTTCACGTCACCCCACGGAGGCTGCCCAGAGACCACGGGCACCTGGGCGATCACATCCCTCGAGCTGCAGGGGTTCTTAATGTGGTCAAAAGACGGCGCAGCGGCACGCTGCTGGCGGTGGTGAGACGTCAGGGAGGCGAGGCATTCAGTTTTATTGCCCCCCTGTCTGGTGGACTTGACCTCATTACTGCCACACTTTGGAAGGGTCTTGTCCAGGAGGTACTGGGGGGGTCAAATCCCAGGGTTCTGTGCATGGAGAGAAGTGGAAATAATTTCTATTCCACTCCGCAGACGGTTTGATCATGATTTCAGGATAGTACCTCTTCCTTTTTTTTTAATTTTTAATTTTTTTGTTAATCCTCACCTGAGGATATTTTTCCTTTTTTTTTAAGAGAGAGTGGAAGGGAGGGGGAGGGATAGAGAGGGAGAAACATAAATGTGAGAGAGCCACATTAATTGGTTGCCTCTGGCATGGCCAGGACCAGGGCCAGGATGGAGCCTGCAACTGAAGTACATGCCCTGGACCAGAATTGAACCCAGGACCCTCCAGTCTGCAGGCCGATGCTCTATCCACTGAGCCAAACAGATTAGGGCACCTCTTCCTTTTTTAGTGATTGGCATTCGTAGTCTGGTAGCATGTGGACCAATATGCCCACAGCGCCCAGGAAGGGGCTTGGTTGTCTCGCTCATCTAAGCCTCAGTCACTCAGGACTCATTTCAAATAAGCCAGGTGGAAGTTTCTAGTTTAAAGACCAGATTGGGATGACAGAGACAGAGGGAGGCGGATGCTGGTGTTCTCTGGGCCCTGCTAGCTTCTTCCCAGGGTGTTGGAGTCAAGATAGCAAGTGCGAGTCCTACAGCCAACAGACAATGGGATGAATGAATGCAATTAAAGGAGCATTCCACATTCTCATGGAGTATGGGTGTTCTCACTTAGCAAGCACTTTGTCTCTGGTGAAATGGTGGCAATAACTTCGTCTGTCTTGGGGCTAAGGAGAGGGGTCTCCATGAATCGCCTCTCAGCACTTCATCTTGGTGTCTACACTGATCTGCACCTCTGGGCTTTGCTGGGAGGGTTCATCCCTGAGAATTCACAGCATGTTTGAAACCAAATAAGGAACCTCCAAGAAAGTTCTGGAACCAACTCTGCCCATATTACATTTACATCCACCTTGACTGCTGCCACTGTTGACATATAAACGGTAGAACATACAACTCGGTATTTACAGCAGAGCCAGACCTCAGGGAGCTGCCACGCTCACCCTGTCTCCCACCGTTGGTCATGGCCACTGTCTCCAGGGCCACCAGGCCTTGGGGGCCCCTACAGACTGGGGAAAACATATCACTTTAATTAAAGGATCAATAGATAAATTAGTTCAGGAATGCTATTCAGTGTTGAAAAGGAAGGACGTCTGACACATGCTTCATGTGGATGAATCTGGAACATGCTATGTTGAACGAAGTAAGCCAGTCACAAAAGGACACATGGTGTGATTGCACTTATTCGAGGTCCCTAGAATAGTCACATCTATAGGCAGGAACTGGACTGGTGGGTGCCGGGCATTGGTGGGAGGGGATGGGGAGTTAGTTTGTTTAATGGGGACAGAGTTTCAGTTGTGGAAGACGGAAAGTTCTAGAGATGGATGAGGGTGATGGTTGCAGCAATGTGAATGCACTTCATGCCACTGAACCATCACTTAAAATACTAAAGATGGTAAATTTGATGCTACAATATTTACCAGAATGAAACTAAAATTAATTTGTGTCTACCCCACAAATACCCATGGAATGGCTACGCATGTCAAATCCATGCGGGAAGCAGGGACATAGAAAGATGGATTGGACAGGGTGCCTACCTCAAAAAATGTCATAAAAACTTCCACGAAAACATCATGAATGTTGATGAACCATTTTTCTTTTCTTTTCTCTAAAATTTGCCTTTTATCTGGTTTAAGAAACACTTGGACTCTATAGGGTTTCTTCAATGGTAATAACATGAGCGGTAATAAATACTACACTTGGAACTCTTCCCTACTCCAATTTTTTATTCCTTTGCAATGAGCTAAGCTGACTATTGTAACTGGGAGGGTCCTAGAGCCTCACTGTAGTCCCTCTAGGCCCACAGGGTTTGCCTGCTGGCTTCTTAGTGGGGGAGGAATGGGGCAGGGGAGGAAGTCAGGGTAGGAGGCGGGCACAGGAGGGAGGGAGGGAAGGGACAGGAGAAAAGGCAGGAAGTGCGTTTAACAACCAGTCCAACAGCAAAATCAATAGGTGCTGTCCACTGACTCTCAACTAAGGCACAATTAAGGCCTCTGGGTTTTGATTCTGATAAGCCGGCTGGCAGCTCTGGGGGAAGTCACCAAATAAACAATAATTCCAGACCATTGTGCCCCTTACAATGGTTCAGACGTGTATTTCCAAAGGAGGCTTAAAGGAGGATGTTGCTTTGTGTGTGGAGACAACAGGAAAAATAAACCCACCAGGAAGACCCACGTAGGCAGGGGACCACGGGACGGGCCTGTCCCCAAGGAGCCCTCGCAGCTGTGGCGGAGACGCGTAAGGCACTTGGCTATTTACCAACTTACTGTGGGGTAGGGGTGCGAGCAGAACACGGTGTACTTCCGGATGATGCCGTTCAACTTGAGCGGGGGCAGCCAGGACACAAAGACCATGGAGGCCGAGGCTGCCGCTGCCTTGACGCCCGCGGGAGGACCTGGAACTGGACACAAGAGCGCGCGTTCAGTCACGGAAATGGGGCCCCCACCTGCGCCCAGGCCCACCTGCCTGGCAGGACCCCACCGGCCAGTGGGGCCACCCCTCTCCCCTCTCAGCTTTCCAAGGAGCTGAACTGTGTCCCCTCAAAATCCGAGGGGTGCGGCTCTAGCCCCGAGACGTCAGAAGGGACCTCACTGGGAGATGGAGTCTGCAGAGGGCTATCGAGTTAAAATGCAGTCCTTAGGGCGACCCTGATCCAAGGTGGCCGGTGTCCTTATTAGAAAAAGGCAAATGTGGACACAGACATGGGCAGAGGGACGAGGGAAGACACAGGGAGGAGCTGGCAGGGGCCAGGCCCGGAGCCCGTTCTCCCTCGGGCCTCAGGGGGAACCAGCCCTGCCCACACCTTGACTTTGAACTTCTGGCCACCAGAACAATGAGACAGTGCATCTCTGTGGTTGAAGCCCCGGGCGGTGATAGTTGGTTACAGCAGCCGTGGAGCTGACGAAGTTTCTCTCCTTGAGCCCCCCTACGCCCGACCTTGGGCATGACCTCTAAGAGCTCCGTTTTAGCAAGAATGCTGCTAAGTCAGACAGTGGGCAGCAGTCTGTGTAGGCCAGTGGTTCTCAACCTTCTGGCCCTTTAAATACAGTTCCTCATGTTGTGACCCAACCATAAAATTATTTTCGTTGCTACTTCATAACTGTAATGTTGCTACTGTTATGAATCGTCATGTAAATATCTGATACGCAGGATGGTCTTAGGCGACCCCTGTGAAAGGGTCGTTCGACCGCCAAAGGGGTTGCGACCCACAGGTTGAGAACCGCTGGTCTAGGAGCTATTTTCTTAAGACATCCCTTGTTGTCAGATGACAGTTCGGTAAAGTGCTGTTTCTTACAAAGGCATAGGCAAGCGCTGGCATTTTTGGTGAGTCGGTGCCCATTGTTGAGTGAATGTCTGACTGGGATCTGACAGGCGGAAGGGAAGAGGCAGCTGCGGGGAAACCATTCTTCCTCGTTCTCCCATTCGCCTGGCCCTCCCTCCTGCGCTGCTGATGTGATCGCTCCCAATCCCATTGCACGACACCTCCACTCCCATCACAGGCACCTTAGACCTGCCAGGTCCCCCGCAGGGCTCACCGCCTTCCCTCCCGAGCCTGAGCCTGACCTCCTCTGGCCCCCACTCAGGGAATGGCACAGCTACCTCCTGTCTGCAGAAGCCGGAACCTAGAATTCCCTTCCTGCCACCCTTCCGTCCCCCTCAGCAATGTGCAGGGTGGGGGACCTTCAGACCTCCTCTGGGCGTGCCTGGTCAGTGAGTGGGCTCCTCCTGGCTTGGTGTTGCTTTAGTCCCTGGAAGTGGCCTCTTCTCCCACCCCAGGACCTTGTTACATGATCATCTAGGGTTTGGTGTTCTTTCTGTCTGGTCTTAGAGCCTATAAGGGTACCCTGCCATGGAGGGGCCATGGGACAGGCAATGGCAGGCGGCCTCTGGGAGCTCAGAGGATCACAGCCCTAAAACCATAAGGCCGATCCTGCCGGCAACCAGTGAGCTTGTTGGGGGCGGGGGGGGGGGGACCTATCTCAGGTGAGAACACAGCCCCTGGGCAGAGGACCTGGCTAACCCAGAGCCACACCCTGGCCCATGGAAATGGGTGGTGTGTGTTTTAAGGAGCCAAGTTTGTGGTAAGTTGTTATAGAACATAGAACATGCATAGACAGGTAAGGCCTCTACTAATGTATCATAATGTCAGCCATCAAAGTTGTGGTTCTGAAAAACTATTGCCTTGGTCTGAAGTTTGACAGGAGTCTGAGTGAGTGCCATACCTACACTTCCTTCAGCCTTGTGTTTGCCACAATCACTGTTCTGGTCTTGGTGACCAGGCCCAGGCAGGGGCACGTGCTTTACTGAGGAAGAGCTTCATAAATATTGAATATTATTATTTTCTGGAATTTTATCTACATCGTTACATAATTTAATTGAAGCTGACAATGCATTCCAAACTTCAAAACTATAAGACCCCATAGCAGAGTAATAAACAGAATCTATATTCTTAATTTTCTGAAGCATAATTAGCTTTTATTTCTTCTTTCAATCAGACTCAAAATTGCATGCAGTTCTAGAAACTGCCCACATGTCTATTTGCATTAGATACGGAGCCTAGAAGGGTGCCTGGCACCATTCTTTACTATTTCTAAGCCAGTGAGCTTTTCATGTGAACCTGGGAGATCATGTCATTATTGCACTAGTTTTTCTCTCCTTCCACCTAATCTCTGCTCTGCTTCCTCTTTAAAGCTGCTGATGGTTTACCCCGAGGAAACACTCACATTCAGTTCTGCATCACTGCTTGTCCCAGGCACCAGCGTGCACGGCCCCCAACCCTGGGGAAACTGGTATACCCGAGGCAGGGCCCTCCACAATCAATCCCATCTCCATACACTGCCAGCACCGGATGCGAAAGCAGAGAATTCCTGATGGACAAACTAGACTTTGGGTCTCAGGGTCAAGTTTTGAGACAGAGCCCCATGATTTATAAAGCTGGAGGATTAATTAAAAATTGATCTGAAATGACCATCAGTCAATAAGGAGTTGGGAGAGCCTTCCCTTCTTATTGGATTTTCGTACATTCTTCTGAAAATTGCAGGTGTCAAGATTCCTGTTGCTGATCCACTTGCTCTTTAAATAATAATTCCAGTGACATTCGTGTTATTGCTTAGCAATGCAAAAGAGTGCTCCGCCCCTGCTCTGAAGGAGCTGAGATCAAATAATCAAATACCTAGTGTCAAGGACCATCCCACCATGTGTCAAACTAGGTGTTTGCACACATCACTCCACTTTTTATATTTCATTCTGTCTGATCGTTATGGAAATTTCGTACATGCAGACAGTCAGAGAAGGTTAGATAAGGTGCCCGGAGTCCCACGGGCAGCATCTAGACATGGCTCTCCATCTGTTACCTTTTATTAAAAATTAAAAGAGAGCTGTCTTCACTCTTTGTAGATCTCTCTCTTAATGTGTGACTTCCTCGTGGCGGTGCATTTTGACCTGAGATTTCTCTAAATAATCCGACTTCTTTGAGCAGAACCAGCTGACACCTGCACATTCCTGGGAAGGAATGCTCAAGTGTTCTAGAAAAGTGAAAGCTACTAAGGCTTAACTTGTGTGCGGGCCCTATGGTACAGGAAGGCTAGAGAGACAGTGAGAATAATGCGTGAGGTGGAGGGATGGGACTGCTTGGGGGAGCAGGGCCGGGTTTGCTGAGTTCAGAGCCGAGTGAGGTGGAAGACAGCAGGCTGTGGATGTCAGGGACATGTTGTGAGGAGACAGAAATGCTGAAGAGAAGAGTCCGCCCAGGCCTCGGTGCATGAGTCCCTGGCTTTGATGCCACAGGACGGATATGGGCTGGAGCAAGAGCATGTTAGATGTTCTACGCGGTGAACAGGTTGCACAGACATCAAACCTGCCAGTACATGGCAGGTCCTGGACGATGGGTGATGGTGCTCCCACCCCACCCCACTCAGCCTGGGGAACAAGAGTCCTGAAGAGAAGACAAACAAATCCCAGAGCCAAACTAGCACAGGACCCAGGCATCCTGAGCTCATCTCAACCCTTTCTCTGGTATAACTCTGGGCTCTGATTTGGATGGTTCCACATGGGGATCAATTTGACATCAGTTGCTCCTTCCTTTGTGAAGGTGGAGAATACTCTTCTCATGATTCCTAGAATACTTATTAGAACTTGAACCGTTCTCCAAACTGGCTTGAATCAGGCCCCTCAGGGTTTCCCTTAGGATAATACAAAGAACTGTTTGTCATGTAGTGTTTGTAGCTTTGGGAAACAGTCACATAACCAAGTCCAAATGAGGTGAAACAAAATGCACTGTGATTTAAAGTTTTACTAAGCCATCATGAATTCTTGCAATTTTAAAAAATTAGCATGAAGCTCTCAAATGAAGGGCTTATTCTAAAGTGATTCTGAAGCTGGCACAGAATAATAGGTCTTAGACCTTGACGTAACTTCCAAGTGGAAGGATGGCAAGGATCAGAGCTTATACCTAATGGCTGAAGAGACCCTAAAATTATCCTAATGGCACACAAAACAGGTACAGCAAGCCTTACCGCTCTGGGAATAAAAGGCATTTTTGCTTAAAATAATACTTGGCCAAAAAGAAATTATAGGGGAAGAGAGAGATAATGGATAAATCAACAAAGACAATAGGAAGCAGATGGCCTGAAGCCTGCTGGCGGATTTTGGGAGGGCAGCCACAGGCGGGGCTGGGGAGTTAGGTGCGCCCCGTGACCCCACTTTCCCAACAATAGCTCAGGTCGGGAACGCTGCCACTTGGCAGGAGCCTCCTATGTCTTCTGGCCTTTCAGACAGAACTGAGCTTCCTGGCTGGTGTGGCTCAGTGGTCGAGTGTCGACCTATGAACCAGGAGGTCATGGTTCGATTCCCAGTCGGGGCACATGCTCAGGTTGCAGGCTCCATCCCCAGTGGGGGGCGTGCAGGAGGCAGCCGACCAAGGATTTTCTCTCTCCCTCTCTGCAATCAATAAAAAATATGTTAAACAAACAAACAATAAAAACTGAGCAGTCCACCCACACCGCCCCTGTCTCACCATCCTCCTTGGTGCGGGTGAAGATCTGCTCGCTCCTGACGCCGTCGCCGGCGCGGGTGAAGGCCAGCACCTGGATGCTGTAGTTGGTGTATTTCTCTAGCCCGTCCAGCTCCAGCGCAGGCTGCGTGGTGGTGACGTTCTTGATCTCGCCCAGCTCTGGAGGACAAGAAAACACGATCTGTTACCGTGGTGGGGGCACGCGCCTTCCGGGTGCGGTGCATGATGTCTAGTGCCAGCCACGTGCCTCCGTGTGTCACACCCTGACGTCACCCAAAGGGACAGTGCACAGCCTTTTCATGTGGAAAGCTCACTCGGACCACACTGCCAGGGACATCGGTCTGAAAAGCAGCAGTTCACCCAGGTTAAGTGTTAACACCCAGGCCAGCCCCACGTGGCCTCTCCCACGAAGTCCTCGGGCAGCGGCTCTCACGCAAGGCCCCTCACCGACCCACGAAGCCGAGGGCCACACCGCTCCTCCGTGGATACAGTTCCGACTGCTCGTTAAGAAGCTTCTGTGCAATAACCAGGCACGTGACAGATGGTCACTGGGCTTGTCATGCTCGTCACCTCGAAAGGTGCATGAATGTCTAACCCCTAAGCGGTACACCTGAGACTCAGGTAACACAGTATGTCAACTGCAATTACATTTTTTTTAAAACTGCACATATTTAATGTGTACATTTCAGTGAGTTCGGACATACGTGTCCGCAGTCATACCATCACAACAACCAAGCATCATCTCAAAATACAAAGCTCTGCAAGTTTTTGTTTTTAAAACCTACTCTGAGTCAAAACACACGTATCTTTTGTTGCTGTTGTTGTATTGTAAATACTCACCTGAGGATATTTTCCCATGGATTTATAGAGAGAATGGGAGGGAAGAGGAGGGACAGCAAGAAACATCCACATTGACTGGTTGCCTCCCACATGTGCCCCTCCAGGAGCAGGGTCTGCAATTGAGGTATGTGGCCTTGACCGGAATCATACCCAGGACCCTTCAGTCCGCTCTATCCACTGAGCCAAACCGGCTAAGGCCAAATGCATGGATCTTGAAGCACCTAAGTTCTTCCCTATCTCTGAGCTGAGAGGAGGTGGCCCAGCCAACTCCTGTCACCTGGAGCGAACCCGCCAGCATCCCTGCAGCAGTGACATGCTGATGTCTCAGAAGGTAGGCCTCAGCTAAAAACGCTTCCTTTTCTGGCGTGGGATCAGCTAATAATATTCAAAGGTGGGACGTTATGCTCTCTGCTCGCAGGCATATGATACGTGGCAATTTGAGAAAACTTTCAGTGATGTGTTAATACCTCCAGGGGGGTTCAGGTTTTGAAATGAGCCACCTACAGAGGAGCCAGCGCAGGAGAGAGAGGCCCGAGCATGACTCACCCCCGGGGAAAGTGGCCACTCGTGGAAGGTTTGGGACTGCCTGCCACCTGTGTGCCCTCACTAAGAGAATGGCGCGAAGTGGAGGTCCAGGGGGTTCCTTCTTGGGTGGCTGGCTAGAATGAAGGCCACTGTGCATCCACTTAGAAAGCGATAAGGCTGCCCATTTGTGTCTTCTGCTCTAGGTGCCAGCACTCTTCTATGTACACGTGCTAACTCATGTAATAGAATTACATGAATTCTATTATTCCTACATTTTATGGGAGAAAAATTGTGGCAGAGAGGGGATCAATACCTCGCCTAAGGTCACGGAGCCTAGCGCAGCGGCCGGGAGCATGGGCTGTGGAACCACAGTGCCTGGCCTAACGCCACAGCCCACAATCCCAGCCACTCGGCCATGACCACTCTGTGGGACTGTCACAACGGCCGGATTAAATGGGCTTTCGGCCTGGTTTTCTCTTCCCGATCCTTGTCTTTCTTTTCTCCATCCTTCTAGAAGAGTGTACAGCAGTTCAGAGGTGAATGACCTCCTATTTGTAGTTACGATGACTGTGGGATGTGCTTTTTAATTTTTGCTTTTGATCATCACCAAATGGAAGAGTTGACGGGGGCACAGGAGAAATGCGGAATGTAAAATAGTGCGCGGGGGAGGCCGAGGCTTGTCACGCACACGCCGGGAGCCCTGTGTGCGGCGAGGATGGGAAGGGGAGTGCAGAAATGGGCAATGAGGGGCGTTGGGGCACAGACACAGCCTTGGACCCGAACATGAGCTAAAGGCCAGTCGGCACCTGGAACAGACAGTGGATGAGTTCTGCGGGCGGTACGCTTTGCTGGGGGGAGAAAGCAAGGCAAGAAAGGTGGCCCCCCGCCCCCCAGATACCTTTACCCCAGTGTTTTCTGGGGAGGCCACAGGGATGCAGATTTTGAGGGGCCACAGTTTGGAAGCCTCAACAGATGCTTGTGGAAAGGAGAAAACTGTTTGCTCATGGAAGTGGCATTCTGCATTCAGAAAGCCAACAACTGTTCGACCCACCAGGGTTAAAGACTCTCCCCTCTGAAGGCAGGGTCCGTCCTGGGGGACCATCAGGTCTCTTCCTGTCATATGATTCATTCATGATGTTCATTCTCCTGAACATGTTTAATGTGGGTCAGTTGGATTAGGATAAAGAACCCAAACGTTAATGAGAAAAAGTGTTAAGTATAGATCTCATAAGATCTTTTCAGATTTAGAGACTTCTATGTTGTGCCAAAGATTACTACAGGTGCACCCACCTGTACATACGCACATGCACACACATGCTCATATATGCGTGCACACACACACTCAGGGAAAATACATCTAAGGGGGTGAAGGGGTTATGCCGGGCCCTGCCAGGAGCTAGTTATGAGAATGTGACTAAATCATCTGACCTCCTGGGGCCTCTGTGATTTGTTTGCTCTTCTCTTTGAAGTGGCCAGGGGGTCTGTACCCACAGAGAAAGTGGGCTCTGATCCTGCATGTGGGAGAAGGCTGTGGCCGGGGAGGGCTTTTCTTGAGAAAGTGTGAGGAGGAGGGAGTGGTGCGAGGGAGAAGACCAGCAGGCGCCTAGTCTTTTTATATTTATTTATTTATTTATTAATTAGAGGCCCAGTGCACAAAATTCGTGCACTGGGGGGTGTCCCCCAGCCCTGGCCTGTGACCTGTCACAGTGCGGGAGCCCCACAATCGATCACCCCAAAGAGGTAGGCCCCGCCCACCCATCCGGGGCTCCTCGATGGACTGCCCCAAAGAGGGAGGCTGGAGCCAGGGGTCCTACCTCGGTGCTGTGTGGAGCCGGGAGGCGAGACCTCCCCACTAGGACCCCCATGCAGGCCTCGCCGTGTGGAGCCGGGGGACCCCCAGGCAGGCCTCGCTTTGCGGAGGCTGGACTCCCATCAAGCCCAGCCCCACCCACCTGCGCATGCCTGCTGTGCGCGCAGCCCATCTTGTGACGGCATGAGGGCATCATGGCGTGACAACTTCTTAGGCTTTTATTAGTAAGGATTTATCTATCCTCACCTGAGGATATTTTTCCCATTGATTTTTTAGAGAGAGTAGCAGAGAGAGGGAAAGACAGAGAGAAAGATCAAGGTGAGAGAAACACATTGATTGGTTGCCTCCTGCACACACCCTGACGAGGGCCAGGGACGGGGAGGAGCCTGCAACTAAGGTATGTGCCCTTGACCAGAATCGAACCCGTGACCCTTTGGTCTGCAGGCCGACGCTCTGTCTACTGAGCCAAACTGGCTAGGGCACACCTGGTCTTTCTAAGAGCAGCAATTACACCAAGAATCACATCTGCTCATAAATTACAATGCTAATTAGAATTCATATTTGCATGTTTATTCATATTGGGGTTCGTATTGTTTCAAACTCATTTATCATGAACAGGAATATGACTGCAGTCAAAGCCCCTGTTCAAAATCATCCCCCGGTGATTCTGCCTGTCAGACCCACTCTGCACACCCCTCCCTCCCGCGGGAAGTGTGTTCCCCGGCAGAAGGGCCTCCTCCATCAGCAGATGTGGAGGAAATAGGAGGGAAATCATGAAAAAGCCAAATGCCAAGCAGCAGGCGTAACTTCCATTTTCAAAGCTCCGCTTCCTTTTTTATGGCTTAACCACGGATTCCTGTCACCCACCTCTCCCAGCTCCATAGGGTCATTTAAAAGTAGATATATAGGAAGGAGAGAATAGTGTTCAGTTTGTTATCAGAGTAAAACAATAGGAAAGGAATATACACAATATATTCAGAAGTCACACTACTTCTTTTACCAAAAATGATTTTTAAAATTGTATTTTAAAACGAGAGTTGTATGTCTTGATTTATACCCCGCTCATTCTCAAAGTGTTTTAAGGCAGAAAACCAATAGGGGTGGGAGTAACTGCTCCGGAGGCACCCACCACCTCAGCCAGAGCCCCGGGGGTGTGTGCATGTTACTTCCAGTTAGAATCCACTGTTTTTGTCCTGAAGACAAAAGGGCTGAGAAGTAGCTCAGATTCCGACGAAGTGGTGACTTTTCAGAATGGCAGTTTCCTAGCAATCTGAGAGGAACTGCTTCTGTCAGGTCTCAAAGTTACTTAACTTTCTGATTATGATAAAGTACTCGGACAGTTCACAGGCATATTGTGATTTAACCTATGCTATCAAAGATATGCTAACCAGTTTTATTTTATCTGATCACATTAGCAGCAGCAAACTGCTGTCTTACACAGATTTTTGAAAATCTTTGGGGCAATTGCTAGTCACAGTGGTGGTAACAACCTCAGCCTCTCTAGGCCTGAGTGTGAGTGTGAGTGTGAGTGTGTGTGTGAGTGTGAGTGTGAGTGAGTGTGAGTGAGTGTGTGTGAGTGTGAGTGTGTGTGTGAGTGTGAGTGTGAGTGTGTGAGTGTGAGTATGAGAGTGTGTGCACATGTGTGAGTGTGAGTACGAGAGTGTGTGCACATGTGAGTGTGTGTATGAGAGTGTGTGCACATGTGTGAGAATATGAGAGTGTGTGCACGTGTGAGTGTATGAGAGTGTGTGCACATGTGTGACTGAGTGTATGAGAGTCTGTGCACGTGTGAGTGTGAGTATGAGAGTGTGTGCACATGTGAGTGTGTGAGCTCATGTGAGTGTGTATGTGTGAATGTGTGTGAGTGAGTGAGTGTGTGTGTGTGTGGGTGTGTGTGCAACGTGTCCTCAAGGATCAGTGGGTATAGATCTCTACTCAGTCACTACATGTTCTGTGTCCATGGAAAGCTCAGGGCCACCGCCTGAGGAGTTTGTGCAAAAGCGCCCAGGAATTCCATGGAATTACCTGCTAATTCACGAATGTCACCTCCCGTAAGTGGCAGGTGAGGCGTGAGTGCTGGTGAGCAGGTTTCTGTTCTGAGGGTCTCTCTCATCTTCTACAAGGTAAGTGGAGGGCTTCTACCCTGGACATGAAGCACATCACCTGGATCTTCATACGGTGACTAAACGCATTTGGGGGACACTATGCATTCCCAAGCATTATTTATTAAGTTTATGTGTTTGAATATCCAGGTTTTTCAACCTTTAAGAGCGCAAAGTTGACGGAACCATTTAAACCGCATCATTCATCACGGGACTTAGATACTAATGGGCAGTGTTGGTGAATGAGTGACGTGTGAAAATCTGAATGGAGAGTCACCACTGGATTCTGGAAACGTTTCCAAGAAGAAGCAAACTGGAGTAATTTTAGTGTCACTCTGTCTTTAGGGGAGTGTTAGGGGTTCAGTGTTATCTTGTTCAAGACGAGGAGTAGGAACCAGACCAGGTCTATGCAATGATACCCTATAGCTTTACCGCAATACAATAGACACTTTGGCACATTTTTGTTGTTTTTAACTTTATATCTGTGGGATTTACAGATGCATGTTTGGGAAGAGAGAAGAAGCTGTGGGAGAACCATGTACTTGAATCTGCCCGGGGACTGGCTGTGCACTGGGGGCTGGTGGGGCTACATTTGAGAGACCCTCCCTTGCTCCTTGGTCTGGAACATCCCCGGCGGGTGCTGCATCCTCAGTGTGGAGACGAGTCCAGCACCGAGTAGATGCTCAGCGACCCCGTCCGCTGCAGGAAGAGCGGGTGACTCTACAGAATGCCTCCCAGTGCCTGGAGCTGAGCAAGGGCTACGCTGGACATGGAGTGGAACTGAGTCCAATCCTCAGCCCAGAGAAGCAAGACTGGCCACAGACAAAACTAGCTGAGGCGTGGACACTGCTAGTGACTGAGCAAATCGCCATCATTCTGCTAATGTCTTCTTCCTCCCTTCCGGGATGAATAGGAGAGCCCCCTGGGGCCCGTTCACCTGCTTGGCAGAGCAGGCCCAGGTCCTGAGCAGGAGTGGGCTGTATCTGGGGGCTCAGCTGTGTTTGCTCAAACTCAGGTGAGTGTGCACCAGGAGGCCACACCCACTCCGAGGGGCTGAAAGATACCTCAGGCCAGAAAGGAGGCGGGGCCCAAGGGCAGGGGTGCAGAAGGAGGCGGGGCCCAGGGGCAGGGGTGTAGGAGGAGGCAGGCCTGGGGGCAGGGGTGCAGGAGGAGGCTGGGGAAGGACAGCAAGGTTGGATGTGGGTGTGGGTCTCCACAATCTTGGCTCCCAAGCAGTGAGCAGACCTAGGAGGCCTTTCCTGTTAGGGCCACAATGCAGGTGGGCACCTGTCATGCTCACAGAGGGGTGATCAGCCTGGCTCAGCGACACCCACCATCCGAAAGCAAAGTCACCCACATGAATTTGACCTAAGAAACATCTGGCCTCAGTCTTGCCACCACCTGAGCAGGTACTTTGCCCAAATAGGAGACTTTCTGTACTAAAACTTGAAAGAAAAAACAAACATAAAGAAACAAGAAGAATGAGGAAAAAGAAGCAGGGGGAGGGGGAGGGGGAGGGGGAGGAGGAGAAACAGGAAGAGGAGGGCACAGACATGGATATGATGGCTCCTCAGGGGGCGAGGGCATCCCCCTCAGGCACCCTCCATTCCTCTGATCGCCCTGGGAGGCCAGCTACGGGAACTTAGGAAGTTTCCCTGCTGAGTTCTGTTGGAGAATCAGAGGCCAACCTACCAGCATCTACATCACCTAGAACTTTCTAAATACAGACCAAGCTTTTGGTGCTGCCTGCAGAGGTTTGACACGGGTACTTATAATTAGGAAAACACACCTATGCCTAGATTTTCCAAGCACCACCCCCTCTTACACCTCCAGTTGCTTTTTGGGGACGCGATGCCTTCAAGAGCTGCACACACCTGTTAACATGCTGGCTGAGAGATAGGAACAGAAGGACGTAGGAAAAGAGGAAACTGTTCAATGATAAAGACACACCCACCATGTCCTGAACCCACATTGGGACCCGGGCCTGCAAATTCCATTGCATCTTTTGGGGCAAACGCAAGGCCGCCGTTTCATCCTCTTACCTCCGTCCATGAGGTTGGCCCAGTAAATGACTCTGAAGCCCTGGAGGATTCCGTTCAGAGCTTCCTTGGAAAGTGTGGACCAGGATATTGATATGCTTTCCGGTGATGTTGCTATGGCTTGGACATTTTCAGGGGGGTAACTGGGCACTGCAATGAAATAATTAGCGTCTGTAATAACGGTGGTTGGTTTTATTAGCAGAGCAATACGAGTACTGAATAAGCAACATTAGTTTCTTGTATCAATGCGCAAACCCAAGAAAACAACTGCACTCAATTCCCGGAATGAAGGGAAACTGAGCACCATTCCCCCTGTGCAAATATTATGAGTGACTCAGTAGACTATCATGAGTTCATGCATATGTCCTAATAGACTGCCACCGTCTCTCTTTCCAGATGAACTACTTCACTCTAAGGAGGCCGCCCCCGGCTCAAGGAGCTGTGAACACGCCTGTTCTTACTCCTGAGTGAAGGCCAGTGTTGTATTTACTTTGTGCAATACGTCCCCTCGCTTTGGTAATATCTGGGATGTAAACTGGAAGTCTAGCTCCTGAAAAGTGTTAAAAAGCAGGCCATGTCATCACAGCTCATTTACCGCCCCATCCGCCCCCACAGCCCCCTTTCAATACTAAAACATTCTGTCAGGGGAAGGAGAGAAACTGGACCACGATGCAGGTTAGGAAACTATTTGAAGTATTTTCCCACATGGAGCTTAGGCAAACCTTAAATGCTGCATGTAGGAGAGGGGATGAAATACTGACTGAGCCACACGCATCAAGGGAAAATGAGCATCAAAGCATAAACCCAAGGGCAGACATGGCAAGGATTGTGGAGGCGGACACACAGCCCCAGTCTTTAAGCCTCCAGTTACCTAAGACTTCTCTTTCTCTAAAAAATGGTCAGCAATTCTCAATAGACGTCAGCAATTTCTTCAAAAGAGGAAATTGTGCATTGATAAAGCAACATCTCAAACCTATGACCAAGGGGGTAAATGCACAACAAATATTGCAGTGCGTGCTTGTTGCCTTCCTACCTGCTACTCATTCCTGCAGCTAACCCCACATCTCATCTCTGCACCCACAACGCCCTGCCTCCGGACACCAGGGTGCTCTGTCTTTTCAAGCACTCCCACCAATCCTGGCTTTTAGGTTTCCTTCACTGTCCTGAAAAGCGAGAATGAATTCTTATGGTCACTAGGGGGCGCTCCAGCACCGTGAGATTTGCTCCAAAGTCCACTCATGTGTGTTCCCTGATCTCAGATGCTTGAAAATAGAAAGCAATCATAAAAAAGAAAGAAAAAAAAAATCCTCCTGAACATTGATTTGGGAGGAATTCTTAGAAAACCGGATTTCTGCATCCTGGTCAGACTTTTGCAGTCAGAGGGAGAGCATGGTGTCCCTGGGGAAAAGCCCAATTCTTGTTTGCAAATGAAGGAGAAAGATGCTGGAGAGGAAATGGATTTTGGCTTTTCAATCCAGACATGTCAAGGGCGGGACCCAATCAATGCAGGGCTGGAGTGAATAAGGGCAAGCTCCCCCATGGAGACCCCGCCCACCCGCAGGCCAGCTGCCTCATCACTGCAAAGCCAAGGGCTGGGGCCAGGCTGTGGGGAGCCAGCGCCCCAACCAGAACAAACCCTGGAGGAAGGAAAGCCAGGAGCCGCGGCCCTGCCCCTCGGACCTACCATCCTCGAGGGTGGTGGTGATGATTTCCTGAGAAGAAGGCCCCGTGCCGGCCCGGTTACACGCCTGCACCACCAGGCCGTACTGGGTGAACTTGTTGAGGTTGTCCAGGGTGTAGATCTCGCTGTCCCCGGTGGTGTCGATGCTGATGATGTTGAACTGGAAGTTGCCCCCCGTGCTGTACTCGCGGTAACCGATTTGGTAGCCTCGGATGATCCCATTTTGCAAATGTTTCTTGGGAGCCTGTGCAGGAAAGGAAAGAAGATGCTAAAGAAGACTCCACGGGAGGGAGAGCAGCACCCACCCGTTTGGTAGGGAAGCAAAAAGGAAATCGAATAACCACGGGAATGATATCAACAGGGTGTAGTCATGGGAACCGAGTCAGGAGAAGCCACCGCACGTAGAGGGCCTGCTCTCCGTTATGGCTCTTCCTTTTCCTGGATGAATGCAGCAGGCGGTCCTGACCGCAGCCCGGTGACACAGCGCCACTCCGCCCCCAGGGACACAGGAGGCCACACAGACATGAGGGACAGGGTGGGATCTGGCACGGGGCCTGTGCCCTCCACCCCTCCTCATGCTGCCGTGGCTGACTTCTCTAAGTGTTTTGGAAAGATGGCTTGTGTTTGTGGGGTCTCAGCGTACACCGGCCATCACCAGGTCACCCGGCAAAGTCTACTGAGCTGGGCACTCGGCCAGATAGTTCCCAGCACTGGGGGACAGAATTTTTTAAAATATGTTTTTATTGATTTTAGAAAGAGAGGGAGAGGGAGAGAGAAACATTGATGTGAGAGAAACAGTGATCGGTTGTCTCCTGTACCAGGGGACCTGTGCCCTGGGCATGTGCCCCAACCAGGAATCGAACCAATGACCTTTTGGTGCACAGGACGATGCTCAACCAACTGCCACAGTGGCCAGGGCCAGAACTGTTTTTAAAAAATGGCTTCTTCTTTCTTTTTTTTTTTTAATAATTAAATCTTTATTGTTCAGATTATTACATTTGATCCTCATTTTCCCCCATAACTCCCCTCCTCCCAGTTCCCACCCCACCCTCCGCCCTCACTCCCCACCCACTGTCCTCATCCATAGGTGCATGATTTTTGTCCAGTCTTTTCCCGCAACTCCCACACCCCTTTCCCCCCCCAAGAATAGTCAGTCCATTCCCTTTCTATGTCCCTGATTCTATTATAATCAACAGTTCATTCTGTTCCTCAGATTATTTATTCACTTGATTCTTAGATTCGCTTGTTGATAGATGCGTATTTGTTGTTCATAATTTGTATCTTTACCTTTTTCTTCTTCTTCCTCTTCTTAAAGGATACCTTTCAGCATTTCGTATAATGCTGGTTTGGTGGTGATGAACTCCTTTAGCTTTTCCTTATCTGTGAAGCTCTTTATCTGACCTTCAATTCTGAATGATAGATTTGCTGGATAAAGTACTATTGGTTGTAGGTTCTTGGTATTCATCACTTTGAATATTTCTTGCCACTCCCTTCTGGCCTGCAAAGTTTCTGTTGAAAAATCAGCTGACAGTCGTATGGGTATTCCCTTGTAGGTAACTGAGTTTCTTTCTCTTGCTGCTTTTAAGATTCTCTCTTTGTCTTTTGCTCTTGGCATTTTAATTATGATGTGTCTTGGTGTGGTCCTCTTTGGATTCCTTTTGTTTGGGGTTCTCTGCGCTTCCTGGACTTGTAAATCTATTTCTTTCACCAAGTAGGGGAAGTTTTCTGCCATTATTTCTTCAAATAGGTTTTCAATATCTTGCTCTCTCTCATCTTCTGGCACCCCTATAATTCTGATGTTGGTACGCTTGTAGCTGTCCCAGAGGCTCCTTACACTATCTTCACACTTTCGGATTCTTTTTTCATTTTGCTTTTCCGGTTGGGTGTTTTTTGCTTCCTCGCGTTTCAAATCTTTGACTTGATTCTTGCGCTCCTCTGGTCTGCTGTTGGGAGTCTGTATAATACTCTTTATTTCAGTCAGTGTATGCTTACTTTCTAGTTGGTCCTTTATCACACCATCGAGGGTCTCATTAGATTTCCTGTACATCTCATCAAGTTTATCGACAGACTCTAGAAGCCTCTTGAGAGACCTCAAAAGTGTGGTTTTGAATTCTATATCCAGTACCTGCTTTCCTCCGGTTCTGTCCTTTGTGGCCTGTTTCTTTGTCTTGGCATTTTTTTATGCTTCGCTGTGTTGATAGAGTGGCTTTCCATGTTAAGTGTCCCAATTACCTGAGGTAGACACTCTTGGTGCACCCCCTTGTGGTCTCTGTGAGCAGTCTTGTTGTAGTCAAGCCTTGATTGTTGTAGGTAATTACTACTTGACCTCCAGTCCAACTGGCTGTCGCTTCTTCCTTCTTGGGGCTCACACTCTAAATGGAAATTCCAGAGTAAAGGCGTTTCCAGGTTGGAAGCTGGATATGGAGGGGAGTCCACTGCTCACAGGGAGGCCCGTGCCACTTTGGATCATTTACAGCGATTTAAACTGGACAGGGAGAGGCCCGAGTTAGCTTTTCTCTGCTAATGGCGAAGGGTCCGCTCAGTCAAAGGCAGGGCAATTTTGGCTGACGTGTTGGCCTTTTAAGAGAAACCAGATTCTTCTCAAATATGTTATGGAAACACCATCAAAGGGATGCTGTAAAGTAATAAAGGTTTTGTAGACTTTCAGGCAGTCAATAGACATGTGTGTGTGTATTTAAGTGTGCATATGTGCATTTGTGTTATGTATTTGTGTGCTTATATGTGGGAGTGCATGCATATGTGTGCATGACTGTGCATGCATGTGTATGTATGTGAGCACATGTATGTGCATGTGTGTGTGTATGTCAGTACAAACCATGGGTTTTGATCTCTCAGGTCTCTGAAATGTGTTCTCTGCCCTAAAAATGCTTAGCAATCCAGTTGGAGAGAGGAAACAAACACTTCAGGGACCATAGAGAAATCTGAAGTGTCCTAGTGTGCGGGAGTGGACGGTGAGGGCCAGCAGGCTTCCAGAAGTGGTTCGAGGAGAGTGGTCCGCAGCAGCCAGAAGAGGCGGACCCCAGGTGGGCATGGAAGGGGAGGGGAGGTAGATGGAGACTGCAGAAAGGGGTGGGGATAGGATAAAGCATGGGAGGTGCCTAAAGCACAGCCCTGGGCATGCAGACAGGGGAGCTGCCTGGGGGGGAGGGACTAGTCCTTGGCCAGCAGACAGGTGCACGAGGAAGTCCACATGAGAAGGCAGAAGAAGGCGTGAGCAGCAGCGGCATGAATGAGCTCAGCAAATATTTATGGATTTGCCTAACAGGCCAACCTCCCACTGGGATCAGATGCCTCCAGCTGCCTTCAGGTGAGAGTCCGAGCTCCACAAAGAGCAGTAACATCACATTTCTCTTTAGAGTAAGTTTCCTCCTTTACTTGGATTCCCATTGCTTTCCTCAACTGCTCCGATTTCATGCATTAACATGATGTTAACAGGTATCAATGAGACCGTCATGTGAACCATGGCTGCTTCAGTCGAGGTGGCACCATTAGACCCGGACTAACTGTTGTTATAAGCAAATGTCTACGCCAAGCACGTCAACCTCAAAGGCTCACACGGGCCAAATAAACGAGGCATGTGATCTGCGGGCCGCGAGTTTGACATGCTTGTGCAGTCCTGTTTTCACATGAGTAACTATGACTGTTCACTTTGCTTTGAAATCCCATATGAAGATTTTAGATGTTGAGAATTTGATTACCTGGAATTTGTTTACCTAAACCACTTGAATCATTTAAATAATTATTACAATTAATTTTCCTGCAAAAGTAATCTAAAAGTCAAATTTAAAACAAAGATACTTCTATTTCACATGGTTTTTAAATATGAAATACAGTGACCCCGATATAAAGGCTATGTTTTTTAAAAATTAGGTTTACGCCCATTAAGGATCCTAATTTTTCAATGGAATCCCTGTGAAGTTATTTTTTTTAATTTATTTTTTTTTAATTTAAGATTTTTAAAGAAGAGAGGAAGGGAAAGGGAGAGAGAAAAATATCCATGAGAAAGAAACATCTACCGGCTGCCTCCTGCACTGGGGATCGAGCCTGCAACCTGAGCACATGCCTTGACCCGGAATCCAACGCCAGCCACCCTTTGGTGCAGGGGAGGATGCCCGACCAGCTGAGCCACGCCGGCCCCGGCTCCCTGGGAGGCTTTAAGTCGCCCTCAGACACCAAGTCCAGATCCCAGCACGGGGCAATGAAGTCAGACCAAGACAAAAGCATGGGGAGCGGGGGGAATGCCCACAAGAACACGTCTGCAGTCACCAGTTTAGCAAAACCCTCTGCAAGTGGAGGGACTTGCTTGCCGACATTTAGCCCTTTGGTCTTGGGGGGATGAATCACACCTGTGATCTGTTTGCACAGGTTGGTGGAGAAATCTCACTGCCCCCCCCCCATGGGTAGAAAACCCCCCAAAACCATTCTAACTCAGCACAGGTGGTTTCGTTCTGCTTGGTTTCAATATTTTGTTAAAAATAAATAAATCTTGCCCGCCCAGCGTGGCTCAGTGGTTGAGTGTCGATTTGTGAACCAGGAGGTCACAGTTCAATTCCCGGTCAGGGCACATGCCCGGGTTGTGGGCTCCATCCCCTATAGGGAGCATGCAGGAGGCAGCCGATCAATGAGTCTCTCTCATCATTGATGTTTCTCTCTCTCTCCCCCTTTCTCTCTGAAATAAAAAAAAAAACATTTAAAAATAAATAAATAAATCTGTACATTCTTCTTAGAACTAAATTTTGATCCTGCTAGTCCTAGAATGCCATACAATTTTTGTTTTGTTGGTTTTTTTTTTTTTTTTTGCTTGTCAGATTCTTCTGAGCCAATTTATTTGGACCCTGTCATCCAGTTATTTTCTTTCTAAAAACAAGGATTCCAGAGAGTTTGTTCACGTGCCCAGCCAGCTGGTGGGGAATGCATGTTTTCAATAAGGATCATTCCAGACAGACCTACAGATTCACAGCAAATCTCACCTCTTACTGCGCATTAAAGGAAGACTTTGGAAAGTACATGAGTGGAAAAAAATAAACCGAAACCCTTCACTCTGCAGCCGGAGTCAGCGGTCCGAGCCCCTCCAAGCGGGAGCCTGCTGGTCTTCCCAGACCGCGGGGTACCCAGGGTCCTGTGTTGGCCCTCGCTCAGGGCCCCTGGATGGACTGCAGTGCCAAGAGCAGGCCCTGCCTACTCACTGCCACGTTCCACACGTAAGAATTCAGTGTCGTTTCC